AATTACAGTACTCTGAAAAAAGAGATTGAAGAGGATTTCAGAAAATGGAAAGATACTCCTTACTCATGGATAGGAAGAACCCACACTGTGAAAACGGCCATACTCCCAAAACTGTTACACAGATTTAATGCAATCTCAAACAAAATACCATTAACATATCTCACAGATCTAGAGAAAACATTTCTAAAATTCATCGGAACCAGAAGAGACCTACCATAGCAAAGGTAATCCTGGGCAACAAAGACAACTCAGGGGACATCACAATCCCTGAAATGAAATTCTATTAAAAATCCACTGTGATAAAATCAGCATGGTACTGGCCAAAACAAAACAAAACAAAAAATACAAACCTGAGGATCAATGGAACAGATTAGAAGATGCAAACACAGCTACAAACACACTCAGCCACCTTATCTTTGACAAAGGGTCCAAACATGATCACTGGAAGAAAGACAGCTTCTTTAATAAATAGTGCTAGAAAAACTAGCTTTCCACATGCTGAAGACTAAAAGGAGACCCATGTCTATCACCATGAACTAAAGTCAAAATGGATCAAAGATCTGAATATTAAAATAGAAACACTAACTCTACTGTGAGAAAGTAAGTAGAAATTTTGAAGACACAGGGGTAGGCAGAGAGTTCATGAACAAAAACCAAACTGCATGGGAAATACTTCAAAGACTCAATAACTGGAATCTCATCTTATTAAAAAGTTTTTGCACATCAAAAGAAATCACCAAAAGGGTAAAAAGAAAACCTACGAATTGGGAAAAATTTTTAGCCAACTGTTCCTCAGACAAAGGACTTCTGTCTAGAACATATAAAGAATTCAAAATATCAGGTCCCCTAAATTCAAAGACCAATCCAAAAATGGGTATCTGAGATGAATACACACTTCTCAAATGAAGAAATATAAATGGCAAATAAATATATAAAAAAATTCATCATCATTGGTGATTCAAAAAATGCAAATTAAAACAACACTGAGATTTCATCTCACCCCAGAAAGAATGGCTCTTATCAAGAAATCAACCAATAACAAATGCTGGAGATGCTGTGGAGAAGAAGGAACGCTTTTCCACTGTTGGTCGGAGTATAGACTGGTACAACCACTGTGAAAATCAGTGTGGAGATTCCTGAAACAACTAGGATTAGTGGTCATATATGACTCCACTATTCCTCTTCTGGGTATTTTTCCAAAAAAACTGAAAACATCACACCACAGCAATATATGTGCACCCATGTTTATAGCAGCACAACCTGTCATAGCCAAATCTTGGAAAGAACCCAGATGTCGATCAACTGAGGAATGGATAAAAAAGATGTGGTATTTTTAATCAATAGAGTACTACTCAGCTATAAAGAAAGATAAACCTGAGGCTTTTACAGGTAAATGGATGCAACTAGAGACCATACTTGTAAGTGAAATATATCAGACTCACATGTGTAAACATTGTATTGTCTCCCTACTGTAAGAAACTGAGAGTAAATAAAATCCAAAAGGTGTACTAGGTACTGTGAAAGGGAAAGAAACTGCTCAAACGAAAGAATAACTAGGATGGAGAAAGGAAAAAAGAAGGAAGAAAAAATACATGTATCTATACAAAATAGCTAAGATAATTGTACTACTAAGTGCTATTGGTTAATTTAAAGGAATAGCTAGTGCTTATATTGTTTGATCAATTTAGCATGCCTATATCTGGTAATCTGAGCAACTACTTTGAAGATAACAAGATGCAATATAATAACCATTGTTTATTTCCTATCATCTTGTTTTGAAATTCTGTGTCATTTTTATTGTTTAAAAAAATAGAGTATAAAAAGACTTGGTGAAGAAGTAAAAAACTGAAACTCTAACACATTCTGGTGCAAATGTAATATGGTCAAACTGCTCTGAAGAATGACTTTGGGGTTTATTTATGTGCTAAAGATAGATTTACTCTATGATCCAATCATTCTACTCATATACCCAAGAGAAATGAAAACATGTGTCCACATGAAAAAATATGTATACAGAACGTTCATTGCAGCATTATTTATGATGGTCCTAAACTGGAAACCATTAAAAAGTATCTACCAACTGAGAAAAGGGTAAACAAAACATGGTTCAGTAATCCCCTCTTTTTCGTGGTCTCATTTTTCATAGTTGTCTCCTGCAGTCAACCACAGTATGAAAATGTTAAATGAAAAATTCCAAAAATAAACAATTCATAGTTTTAAATTACACACCATTCTGAACTGCACGATTCAATTTGATGCTGCCCCAATTCCACCCCACCTGGGATGCGAATCATCCCTTTGTCCACCAGATCCACGCTGTATATGAGACCTGCTGTCCAGGTCATCAGAACGCCTGTCATGGCATCATGGTACACGTGTTCAAGGAAGTCTTCGTATTTAATAATGGTCTCAAAGTGCAAGAATAGTGATGCTGGCAATCATATCATAGTATATTGTTATAATTATTCTACTTTATTATTACGGTTATGCTCAGACTGTGCCTAATTTATAAATTAAATTTCATTATAGATATGTAAGAGACAGCAGAGCATAATTTATGGGGTTTGGTACCATAAAAGGTCTCGAGCATTCATTGGAGTTCTCGGACCTTATCCTCTACAGATAAGGAGGAAATACTATGTATGCATTCAATCCAACAATGTTTAGCCATACAAAAGAATCAAGTATTGACACACTATAACATAGATAAACCTTGAAAACATTATATAAAGTGAATGAAGTCAGAACAAAACCCATACACTATATGCTTCTATTTATATGAAGTGTCAAGAAACGTATATCCATAGAGACAGAAAATCAATGAGTGGGTTACCACGACTGCAAATGGGAAGTGATAGCTACTGGGATGATGGGGGTGTTCTAAAATTAGAATGTGGTTGTTATTGGCCTGCTTAGGCTGCCATAGCAGAAATTTCTCCATAGTTCTGGAGGCTGGAAGTCCATGATCAGAGAGCCAGGGTGGCTGGGTTCTGGTGAGGTCTCTCCAGATTGCTGAGTGCACCCTTCTCACTGCATCTTCATATGACAGGAAGGGAGAAAGAATAAGATCTCTGGTGTCTTTATTTATGAGAACACTAATCTCATGGTGTAGGCTTCATCCTCATGATCTCAATCTAAGCATAATGACCTCCCACAGGCCTATCTCCAAGTTCTGTCACCTTGTGGGACTGAGTTTCAACATACAAATTGGGGGAGAAAACAAGTCAGTCCATGGCAGTGGCAACAGTTGCACAACTCTTGAAGTACACTAAAAATTAACGAATTGTACAAACAAAAATGGATGAATTTTTTTTGGCATGTAAAGCATACCTCAGTAATACCTGTTTATTTTTGCAGCAATGGGGATTGAACCCAGTAATAGTCTACCACAGAGCTACATCTCCAGCCGTTGTTTTAATTTTTAATTTTTATTTTGAGATATGGTCTTGCTAAGTTGCCCAGGCTGGCCTTGAACTCATGATCCTCCTGTCCCAGCTGACATCATAGGCATGAGCCACCACACCTAGCTAAAGCTGTTCTTTTTCTTACAAACGATGAAATCTATTTTAAAAAAGAAATTTATTGACTACTATGCTAATTGCTTTAAATAAATTGCTATTATAACCTTGAAAAGTTGGTAATATTATCCCTGACTTATAGATAAGGAAATTGAGGCTTAAAAAGGTAAACAACTTGCACAATTAGCAAACTACCAGCGTTAAAACTGGGTGCACGTGCCCAAACTATAGAGTTCACACACTCCAATTTATGATTGCCTGGAAGGCCCAAGTTAAGGATCCCTTCACAATCTATTTCCAACAATCTGTTTATGCACAGACCATAGTTAGGGTCCATAGGAGACCTACATAGCTCAGGATTCTTTCTCTAGAGACCACGTAATATAGAGACCGCATGTGAGTAACTAGAAATGTGGGCTGGCTAATCTCCGGATCAGGAAGTCGGAAGTTAATAGATGCATCTGGTAATCTGAGCAACTTTATTGAAAATACCAGTATGTAATATAACAACCATTGTTAATTCCTATCATCCTGTTTTGAAATCCTCTATCGTTTTTATTGTTTTTGTGTTGCTATTTTGGTTTTTTTCTCTTTAAAATAAAAAAAGTAATATGGTACATACAAATCCCAGCCACTTAATAAACACAATGTACCTTTTGAAAAGAAAAAAAAGGAATAAACAGATGATGCTATTTGAAAATTAAGGTCTGTCTCTGCATCTCTTTCTGGGGTGGCCTGGAAGATGGGCTCAGGACCCATACTCTGGACAGAAGCTGCATTTCTGTCCGGGCAAGTTAGTCAAATCTCTGTGTGCCTCAGTTTCCTCACCTTCAAAGTGGGGATGAGAAGAGAACTTCCTTCAGAGGACTATTAGGTGTGCCAGGCCAGATGAGTGCATCAGTGTATTTGCAGGACCTGCTGTTTCTCGGCTTTGCCACCAAACTGCTTATGTGTTCAGCTGTCCACCATGGGGTCATCTATTCGTGGGATAAACAGTGCTCCACAAAGATTGCTATGCATTTTCAGCGACCCACGTGAAATCAAAGCCCCTGGAGGTTGTGGCGGTCACCTGGTCTAGGCCTTCACTATACAGAAGGGAACAATGAGACTCTGCGGTGGGGGCTTCAACCATAAGCCTCCCACCTTCCTAGGAAGTCTAACGTGATTATCACACAAATGCTCTTGCCCAGTGAGCTTTTGTGTCCCAATTTCTCCCAAGAGATACTGTCCATTTGGCTAAAAAGTAGATGAGAAAAAGCCACAATATGATTTTTAAAGACTGCCAAATGCAAATTCCGAATTACGTTATTTGAAAGATGGTAATGCAAGTGTTCTTAAACCTCTTCCTTTCTCCTTAAACTCCCACCCCTGGACCAAAAGCCAGTTCTCTGAAAGTGCAAACAAAACACAACAGTTTTACGGACAATGGTTCAGAGGTAGGCTACTCCCAGAGAATGGCTACAGCAATTTTCCTCTTGTTACCTTGGTAACCGCTACCTTGGCGCCCTTGTTGATGAGCTGAACCACATTCTCTGCTTGGCCTTTGTACGCAGCTATGAGAAGGCGTTCTGAAAGCGCAGCGACCGCATCCTGCTGGCTCATGAATTGAGAGAAAGAGGTTTTCAGGAAAGCAGTGGACAAGTTCTGTCAGCTCAACACGAAGCCACTGGCTCGGGCTGGCGCCCACTGGTAAAGATGTCCTCAGTCATTGGAAGGTGATTTATTCCTATGCCATCTTCGATACCTGTGGGTTACAAAACAAAGCTGCCATCAGTGCGACTTGCCACAAAGGACAGGCCGTCCCTCTTCTCTGGTTTTAGGGTATTCTGCTAGTGCACAGCACACGAGAGGGAAGCTGCGGGAGACAGGATGTGTGGAAGCACACTCTCCACAGCAAAGCCCTGGACAGAGCTTGCAGGTAGAAGGCAGCAGAAGATGCCCACCTTTCTCTGTGCTCACCTCCTCGGGGACATTCTCCAGAGGGTTATGACCAGGACCGCAAAGCTGACTCTGCACTTCCTGTACATCCTGGATAGAAGAGGCTTGATACAATCCCCCAGCCACCACCTGGTTTACACACCACCTCCATCTGCTCACTGTGCCGTGCATGTGCACCACGGCCTTCGCACCAGGTTTTACGGGTCACCATAGCTCGTGTGCTGATTCCCCAGCAGTCCGGATGCCAGTGGCCACACCTCACAGAGACCCTGACAGGTGGGGTATCTTCTTAGGGTGGTTTCTATTTTGTTTATTGTACTGAATACCAAACCCAGGGCCTAATAATGTTAGGCTAGCACTCTACCTCTCGGTTGTACTACCAGCCAACGCTTGGTGTTTTTGCTCAGCATTTATCGCAGTTCTCTCCCTTCATCCTTTCCTTGCTGTAAATAGTACAGTCTCCTGAGTTCTGGAACAGATGGAGAACTGGGCACAGACCTGGGCCGACTCCCGGTTCCAAACTGCTCAAATAATCCCCCTTGGAAGAACATTGATGCTAAATATGTGCTTTGCCAATTTAGGAGGGGTGGTTTGTATTGCTTCCCGCATAATGGAAGGAAAATGAATGACCCACTAAAATCACCTACACGATACTAAGCCCTGACTGTGAGCACTGGTTTGGAAGTAGTGACTAGTATTAAATTTAAACCCTTCTTTCAAAAACAAATGACCAAAATCGATAGGATTTTAGAGAATGATTTCTGTTAGTAGCCCCACCACCATTAGACCAAACCAAATGCATTGGTAAAATTTCAAAGGCAAAGGGTTCTTTGGGCAGAAGAAATGCTTACGTGTCTAATCTACTGCAGCTAGGAGAACAAGGAAGTGAAGACTTCTTTGTATTTTTAATATTATTTTATTTTTTGCAGTATTTGAACCCATGCATGCTCTACAAGCACTGCCAATGAGCTATATCCACAGCCTTTTATTTATTTTGAGATAGGGTCTTGCTACATTGTCCAGGCTGGCCTCAAATTTGTACTCCTTCTGCCTCAGCCTCCTTAGAAGCTAGGATTACCACTGTAGATGATGTCTATGTATTTTAAAATGCACTATATATATATAGTCCTCCTGGACCCCACCACTCATTCTAATTTCAAAACTCTGGAAGATGTAATCATCTTCTACAGTTGTTTTCAGGCAAACTCTTTGGTCCTTTCAATCTCTACAGACAAAGGAACTGGCCACAGTATGGCTGGGAAATGTCCAGACCGTACTGAGGTCTAGTCCTAGGTCACTGTGGCATGCAGGCAGTTCACATGGCCAAGCACTCTGGAGGCTGGTATTAAAGGCTCACACGGAACAGATGCAGAGCATCTTTCTCCTGGACTGTGGTGGGAGTTAAAAATGGTATTTCATTATGGAAAGTGTGGAGCCAAAGTAAACACTGACTTCACAAAGGTAACTCGTACCCCTCTCACTTGTTTATTAGCACCATCTCACTGTTTTTTACCTTTCACCCAAAATGTAGGTAAAGGAGAGCAAGGAGAAGAGACCCGTTCCTGCTCAGCAGGCTCATGGGAAGCACAGGAAATCTGGAGAAAGTGATCCCGTGAAGCAGAGGACACCTCAGTTAGCTGTAGTCTGAGATCCCTGGGATATGCCAGAAATATCTCCTGAATGAACCAGCCAATAAAAGAAGCTGAGGTTCAAAACAGTAAGAGAGGCCAGACATGGTGATGCATGCCTGTAATCCCAGCACTCCGAAGGCTGAGGCAGGAAGATCACTGTGAGTTTGAGGGCAGCTTGGCCTACGAAGTGAGTTCAAGGCCAGCCTGAACTGTATAGTGAAATCCTATCTCAAAAAGACAAAAAAAAAAAAGAAACAAAAAATTTTAAAAAACCCTATTTCCAAAAGATAAAATAAACAAAACAAAACAAAGCAGAAAACCACTAAGAGAAATGCAGTTTGGAATGCTTTTCTAAGTGCCTGGGCCATGCTGAACAATTATATTCAGAGCTGTATATTTTGCAGACTATTTGGAAGTGGTTTGTTTTTATCAACATAAGGTACACTGTCTCTTTTTATTCAAATAATCTATGGTACAACCAAACCAGCTATATGGAGATTCTGTTCTGTTTTTCCAAATACTGCAAAATCACTCCAAGCCCAAATGCAGGAAAACAGTTTAGCCGACTTCTAAATGATCTCCCTCACACACCACATTCTTCCCTTCATCTACCTCTTCGTTATCTCTGTACACTTGACCTTATCCATTCTTTTCCATTCCTGAACCCTTTCCACAATGGGCATTTACATACAAGGGCCCCATCCATAAAAATACTATTTTGGCTAAAACTCTACTCATTCTACTCTCCAGCTTAGCTTCTTGGGGTAGAGTTCTGCTGCAACTTCAGTGCCGGCCCAGCTGAGGTCACAAGCTCCAAACCAGCAGTGCTCAGCCTCCTCAGCAACAGATGCAAGGTCCAACCAGCTTCTGGTAAATTGACAGCCACTCTCTGCCCATCCTCCTGGGTCATGCAACAAATTTAGCCTCTTAGATACTGAATCTAAAGCCCAAGTCATCTTACGGCCATAGCTGTAGCCCGATAGCCCTATTTACATAATCACTGATGGTAAACAGCCCTTGGTGAGTCCAGCTAATTTTCCTTAAAACAAACAAACAAAAAAAGGAAAGAAAGGAAACCACTACAGCTGTGAGAAAAAATACTGGCTAATCAGATATCATTTTATTTTTGGCTTTTCAGTCACAGCTACTAAAGAATACTCTTTACCTCCACATCATGACCACAACAAATACACCCATAAAACAGCTCCCAGGACAGCACAAAACTGCCTGCAAGATCAGCAACAGGATCCCAGGTTTCCAGTTCCTAGTCTGTTGCTAACATCCTCCCAGTGTATTTAGATATGTCACGCTCCTTCTCAGTTTAAACCCAGGAATACTGTCACCACTAGGACCTCTAGCATCCAGCATCCCTTGAAGTTGCCTTTCTATGCAGGGTGGATGCAAAGGGATCACAGAGGCAGTCTTCTCTGCTTTCATTCTGTTCCTTCTGTCTCCTCATTTGGAGTGAGAGGACACTGCTTTCTCATCCGACATCTAGAAATCAACAAATCAGGCCAGGCAGAGACAGGCAGAGAGGAAAGGGATAAGACGGGGTGGAGAAGCCCTGACAATAAAGGAGGAGGGGAGAGGAATACAAGGTGGTGACTAGTTTGTAGCCAGTGAGTTAAACTTCACTGCCAACCTGTTGGGTACCCTGGCTGTCGCAGACTTATTCCCTCCTTAAATCAGAGCATCCCTTTCCAAGCAGATGGCTATCATTCAAGACATTTCCGACTGCTGGCACTGAGGAATTTCTTCCTTCCCAACCCTATCAATCACAGCACTCTTTGTCACAACGCTCATTTTTCACAGTGTTCTGGAGAAAAACATTAGATGCAAACATTCTGCTCATTCTTTAACCAAAAAGGAAATAAATACGTGAGCATAAGTATGCAACCAGCGCCCTACGTTTAGAAAGGATTTAGCTTCCTAAGAAAGATTACTCTCTTCCCACCCAGCCCACGCCTCATTTTCATTGCTCTTCATTTTGCCAATCCTTTTATCTCGTCCCAAATGCCACAGGGTCACACAGTTGCTTTGACAGCTTTTCTTTCTACAGCAAAAGGTCTATGCGCTTTGTTTTTGCTATTTTCCTGTGGATTTACAACAAAGTCTCCTGGTTCCAATATCCCAAAGCCATGACATTCAGCCTCCTGAGAGGCAAAATATTTTAGATGAAACCTTCAAACAAAAGTGCCAGCCAGGCATAACACACAACCCACCCAGAGACAGCCCACAGACACCCGGGAGCCGGTGGTTAGGGAGCGTCCCCAGTCATAACCATCAGCTTTGTTCCCACTGCTCCAAACCCTGTGTTGAAGACATTGTACTCACATCCGGGGGTCTGTCCTCCCTGTTCTATATTGTGTTCTGTTTCTGGACAACTGCGGTTAATTCTTTCCTGGCGAGATCATTAGCATCCTAGGACCGTCACTGCCGGTGGGTCTGCAGTGATTTACGGTACAGTGCTTGCAGGCTTTCCCCTTGTCTCCTCTGCCGATGCCAGCCAAATCATATCTAAAAGCTTATTAAGACATCCATTCAGCGCCAATGTTTTGTGGCTTGCCAGTCTGCTCCTCACTGCTCCTGAGAAAGTGTTGGGTCTTCAGGTTTTTGTTGGACTGCTCCCACCCAGCGGCACAGGACCTGTAACACTGCCCTGATGGAAGACCAGGAAACAATTCACAGATCCGTACAATGTTTCTGAATGATGCTCAGTGACAGAGAAATGAAGTTTGTATTCTTTCAGCGGCAGTGCAAGGACAGATGAATGTGCACGCTGTAAAGGAAGGAGGATGCAGGAAGGGTGAATTCTAAATCCTTCTCAATAAATACAGTTCGGGAGATGCTCATTTTGTGGGAGCAGCAAGTGCAGACACGCCACCCTCCTGGGCAGGAACTTCCCGCACGGTGACGGAGACTGCGTGACTGCGGCAGCTCGGGAGGCAGCAGCTGGCTGAGTGGCCATCCTTGGCGACTGTAAGTAAACCCAGTTTATCTCACAAACTCTCCTCTACACCGTCTCCCCAGAGGAGAGGGGAGGGAGAAAATGGGGGGCCAAGCCCCTAAGCAGCTGTTACTAGTATTGCCACTAGCTCTAAGCACCCCAAGTGTGCCCTTCCAGGCCACTTGTTGGAGTAACAGAAACTTCCCACCTGGAGACAGCAAGAAAGGAGGGAAGCTCTCATTTTGACTTCAGCCAGTATCCACGTATTTTCTGCTCTCTTCCTAAAGATAGAATTGTTGGTCCCAGAGATGAGGAAATAACTGCTCTGTCAGCGCACATCTTCTGACCACCTCCCTATCCCACCTTCCTAGCCGCCTTGCTCTCTGAGGGTAACAGCCCCTGTAAGCAATGGGCAGGGGTTCTGCTGTGGCCATTCTTTGGCTTATACCAAAGACAGACCAGGTCAGGACTCTGGCCAGTGCACTGTAGAAAGGTTGAATTTCACTAGAGAAACAAATTGTCAGTAGAATGACAGCACAAGCTTTTTAAAGTACCTAATACTAGTTTATCCAAAAGCAATCATCACTGGAATACCGTGGCCATCTTCGGAGGCCAAGAGGTTACAACAGAGGTGAACATGATTCAGTCCCCACTTGGAAGAAAATCATCTGGCCACCAAGAAGCCACAATCAGGCCCCACAAGACCAGATTCCAGGAGATAAATGCAGATCAAGTATAAAGGAAGGACTGGTTTGTCTTCCTCCATTTCCAAGGCATTTCCTTCTTCTGAGACTATCTACTCCCACAGGCCTGGGTCCTTAGCACAAGACTATCCACAGGGACTAACTGCACAGCCTGGTGTCTGGGGAGGCAACAGAATGGAAATGACAGTGCAGAGACACTGACTCATTCCATTTACCCCATCATTGCAAAGCAACAAGTACGCTTATTTCTTGAGCCATCTCACGTCAATAACTCTTCTGAACCTAACAGTTACTGAACCTTTCAAATAGTCATCTTTGCAGGAGGCACAAAGAGGCTGTTGCAGTGAAAATTGCGTTATACCTGGATGCTATTTAAGAAACCTGTGACATACCCTATTATGATGAAAAGCTGCTTACACATGTGCAAATCAGAGAGACAACCATTTGTCATCTTGTATCCCTAGTGCCTGACCTGGTGCCTCAGCACAGCTGCCCTTTAATGTCCAGTAAATTGATAGAAAAACCAGAAGAAATAGCTTTTTATAATCATTAATTGGTCTCCAGGAGCCTGTAGAACCCGTAAAGAGCACCCACTTAGGCAGCTAATCTTACGTTTTTCCAAACAGATGAAGCAGGCAATGGTTCCAAACCTTCTAAAAAATTTTTTTAAAAAAGAGAAGGAGTCAATGTCATCTCTCCTTTTCTCCCAAAAACATAGGACCAGGGCTCTTGGAGCCAGAAAAATTACTGCTCTCAAGGCAGCCCTTAGTGATACAGGCCTATCAGCACCAAAGCAGTGGACAGCACCACAGCCACTTGTAATTTTCTTCTCACCACTCTGAAACCCAGTTGAGCAAAGCCAAACATGTTAAGGACACACAAAGTATCCCTATGGAGTAGTCTGCCATACATGTGGTCTTATCTCAACCCCACTCACTCCTCAAATCTGCCTTGATCCGCTTTCTTTTGGCTTCCACTTTTCTGCCAAAACTAGTTGCTATTTACTTTGTGGTGTACTCAGCACCTACTGAAGAAACAGGCATAAATAACTATGGAAACTCGGCAAAAAACCATTCTTGCTTAGTGGCTGAGGAAAAAGAGGTCAGCAGAGCTATCACAGGAAGGTGCTGGAGGATGTGTAGGATTTTGTTAGGTAAAAACTAGGGAAGACAGGTAGAGCAGCAAGAATGAGGCAAAGAAGTCTCAGAGAACATGGGATGAGTAGGAAAGAGAAGCAAACCACAGACAGCTGCAGCTGGAGCAATGACCAGAGACAATGCTGGGAAATCAAGCAGCAGTTAGGCTGTGGGAAATTTTTGCATCAGGCCAAAGGATTGTACCGTATTGTGATAGGGAGCCCTGGAAACCGGTAAGCAGAAGAGACAATAGTTGTATTTTTGCTCTACTGTACTCAGAATACAGGAACTCAGAAATGAATTAGGATTGTGGGATTTACGCTACACTCTCAAGATGGTACGTACGTGGCTTTCTCTTTCTCCATTCTTCCCTTTATCTCTTTTCTCCTTTCTTTTCTTCCTTTCATTTTAATAGACTATTTTCTAGAGCAGGTATAGGTTTATAGAAAACCAGCAGATAGTACAGAGTTCCCAAGTAACCCTTTACCCTTCTCATTCCACTTCCCCCTCTTAGTAACAACCTGTATTAATGTGGTACATTTGCTTTAATTGATGGGTTGATACTGATACATTATTATTATCGAAAGTCTGCAGTCTACATTAGGTTTCTTCTGTTTTGTATAGTTCCATGGATTTTGACAAATGCACAATACCTGCATCTGCCATTAAAGTACCATACAGACTAGTTTCACTGCCCTATAATCCCCTGTGGTCCACCTATTCATCTACTCCGTTGCCTTCCAAGCCCTGATCTACTTATGGTCTTCATATTATTACCTTTTCTGCAATGCCATATAGCTGGAATCATACAGTACTATGGCCCTTTCAGATTGGCTTCACTTAGCACTATATATTTAAATTCACTGTCTTTTTGTGGTTTGATAGCTCACTTTTTAAAGGTGAATGATATTCCATTATATGGACATACCACAGTTTGTTTTTCCATTCTACTAAAGGGCATTTTGGTTGCTTCCAAGTTTTGACAACTATGCATAAAGCTCCTATAAGCTCCTGTGCCCAAGTATTCATATGGATATGTTTTTATCTCATTTGGGTAAACACTAAGGAGTACAGTTGCTGGATCGTACTATCTTCCAGTACAGCTGCAGCATCCTGCATTCTCACCAGCTGGTTTTACATTAAACCAATTGTCAAATGCAGCGGTAACCTTTGGCTCTTACATGATACAATTTCTTTCTTGCACTGGGTACTGCTACCACCCCTTCCTCATCAAACTTAGTTTCTGTGACCCACTATATCCTCTCCTATTATCCTTCAGATAACCTTTTTTCTCACTGAAGGGCTCTTTCACTAGCACGTTAAGCGTTGCAGGTCCCAGAGATTCTTTGTTATCTTTTCTGCTCATTTTTTTCCCAGAATATCTCCCCCTCCCTTCTGCCCACATCCTTTTCTGCTGCCTAGATACAGATTTTTCTAAGTCTACTTCTTTAGACTCATTCACTTTTTCTGAAGCTCATATTAAACACTTAGTCACCTAACGGACATTTTACTTGTATGCCCCTGTCTTAGTTACTTTTCTCATTGTTGGGACCAAATACCCAACACTCAGAGTTAAAAGAGGAAAGGTTTATTATAGCAAAAGCAATGAGGGGGGAGGGGGAGGAGGGGGAGGGAGGGAGAGGAGGGGAGAGGGAAAGAAGTCTCTTTCTGTCTCTTGTATTTAGTCTACCGGGATTAGGGTAGTGCCAATCTAATCAGTGGATTGACTCAGCAATCACCCACCCTTAATGCTAGCATTGCAAACGCTAGATTCAGCAACCTCTGAAAAGCCCACCCCCTCCATGACTGCATGAGGCTTTGTGGGGACATCTAGACACAAACCATAGCATTCCCCACCAATACGTTCACAACCAAATCACCATCCTTCTTTCCAAACCTGTGTGTTTTCCTGTGTCCCCACCTTGGTAAGGGGCTTCTCTTTCATCTAGGAAACATCTCCCTAATCTGGAACATTCCTCGTTTCCTGCTCTTCCCCTTCCTCCACTCACATTCAACAAATCACCACATCCTCCTGATCTGAGCCAGTAAGGCAGGGAGATTAAAAATATAAGCTTTGAAATGAGACTGCATGTACTCAAATTCCAGCTCTGCCACTTACTCCTGCAAATTTCAGCTGGAACCACCAGAGGACAGAAGAGGCAGGGAAACACTCTTCACTAGAGACTGACATCTTGATTTCAAACTTCTGACTTCCACAATTGTGAGGAAAGAATTTCCTGTTGTTTTAAGTCATGTAGTTTGTGGTGGTTTATTACATTAGCCACTGGAAACTAACACAAATGCCTTCCACACAATGGAAGCTCAATAACTATCGATATCATCTTAGTCAGTTAAAATCACAGGCAATATTTCCTTTCTGAAGTCACTCACACAGCGCTACACTTTCATGGCAAGAGTCAGGGCTATACTTTGTCACTTCAACGCTAGTAAATTCTGCCCGACCAAAGGGTCTCTCTCCACTGTTGAGGACGGGCCACACTCCAGGGGCTAAGAGTTCTCACTATATACTCCTTCACATGTTTTTACTCTCCCACACACATAATGTCTCTTACTCATTCTTTCGGGAGCTAAGAGTACTGCAGAAAGCACTTGATACCAGGATGATGCGGGGAGGAGAAACAGCTTGTGGCAATGAGGGTGGGGAGGACACCCTGACAGCCGACTCCAACCAAGCGCCCAGCAGTCCACCTACAGGAAACACGGCTGAGCTGAAACAGAGCCAGGTTAGCTGTCTCTTTCTAATCCCACTCCACAGCTTAAAGGCAACCACGAAGCTACTGTGCTAGCCAGGAAGTGAGTGATGGAATGTAACCTTCCAGACACACTCCCAAGTACAGCAAAGGGACTGACATGAGTGTCTGCTCAAAGTAAATTCCAACTGTGTTTTGGGCTGTTCTCTAATTTTGAACAGCATTCTTCTACAAGCCAGCAGGCCCATGACCCTCAG